ACTTGGCGAAACCTCATCTCTACAATAAATCAAAAATTAGCCGGGCGTGGTAGTGCGCACCTGTAGTTCCAGCCACTTGGAAGGCTGAGGCGGAAGGATCGTCGGAGCCCAGCAGGTCGAGGCTGCGGTGGCCGGGAGCGGCCACTGCACTCCAGTCTGGGTGACAGAGTGAGACTCCAACTCAAAAAAAAAAAATCTTGAGAACGTCTCATCCTCCCTTCATGCCCTGGAATTGATCCCCAGAAACTGCACTCTCCTTCCACCACAGCGACGCCTGGTGGAGACATGTGGTGGGTCGAGGTGTCACGACAGTTGGAACGGGGCAACTTCTATGCACTAGAGAAACTACCTGCCCTTCAATTTCCTGGAGAAAGAGAAGTTTGGAGGAAGAGAATATTTATGGTGGAGAGGAAGAGAATGAACTTTTATCCTGGAACAAAGTGGGCCTTAGGGGTGCCGATTCCCCTCCTCATACCGTATGCAGTTGAACATCCAAGTATAACTTCTAACTTCTTCAAAACTTAACTACTAATAACCTGCTGTTGAACAGAATAGCCTGCTGTTGATCTCATAAGCAGTTGATTAACATTTAATTTGAATTTATGTGTTATATACTGTATTCTTATGATAAAGTAAGCTAGAGGAAAGAAAATGTTATGAAGAAAATTGTAGGGAAGAGAAAATAGATTTACTACTCTTTAAGCAGAAGTGAATCATCACAAGGTCTTCATCCTTGTCTCTTCGCGTGGAGTAGCAGAGGAGGAGGAGAAAGACAAGGGGTGTTCTTGCCCTCTGGGGCGGCAGAGGCGGAAGAATTGGAGGAAATGGAAGGACAGGCAGGCATACTCGGTGGAACTTAGTGGAAAAAACCCACATGGAAGTGGACCTGCTAGGTTCAAGCCTGTGTTGTTCAAGGTCAACTGTAGTAGACTAGTTGTTTCATACTGTATGTGAAATGAGCGAAAATCACTTGTTTAATGAATGCCAAAAAGGATGTGTAATTTTTCATACTAGAAAACAATCATGGTCAGCAACTTTTAGTCAATGTTGTAGGAGATGTTTGTGATAATTAAGGTAAATCGTTTGGGAAAACTATTCTGAATAAAGAGCAGACCTACCTGCCATCTTTGTTTCTAAAAATCTTCCTCCAATCTGCGTGGGAGTTGTGGGAATTACAGGTTTGCTCTTTCTTTTCTTTTCTTTTTTTATTTTAAAGTAAAGATAGGACCTTGTTTTAATGAAGTGAATGTGAAAAGTTTAGCAGTCCCTAGAACTGAGTTTTGGGAAATAAAATAGTCCAGCCTTTTTTTTCACATATGGAGCCAGCATTTGTACTGTCTTTAGAAGAGAAACATACCTTCCGATCTGTGCCCATGAAGTCCCAGGGAGAATGTGACCCACATTTGTTGGAATACTAGACTGTGACGTTTATCTGAGATCTACTTGTAGGTGAATGCACTATTTTCCCCATCAAAATTTATAAATAGCCAATTCATTCCTGTTGTGACTCAGAGACAGCACAAAAATAAAGATGTGTGGAAAGTGTGCTGCCACAGGTGGGCACATGTTGTTAAATGCTACTATTGAAAAGAATCATTGTGATAAAAGACTTAAAAAAAAGAAGACAGCTTCTCTCCTTCTGGATCATGATGATCAGGCACAGTAGAAGGCTCTTGGAATTGTGTGGATGGTGGCGCAGCTCGGATCTCTTGGAGGCTCCCACAGCCCAGAGCAGGCTTCTGTGCACATGCGTCACACAGATGCAGCCTGTCCATTCACAAATAAAACTAGAGAGGTGTATCTCTCGGTGCAGCCACCCTGTCTACACAAGGCACGTGAGTGTCCAGCAGGCTTCTGGCTTCTAGAGTTCCCCCACAACCCCTTAGCTCACCACTGTTGCCACGTGTCCCATCTCAGCACTGTGCCTTATATTTTAAAAGAAAGCATCTCTCCTTTTCCTCCTTGCCTGCCTTTCTGTTTTCCAAACCAAGAACCTCAGTCTTCCCAGGATTTATTATAATTTAAGTAAATCTAAAAAACCCAGTATTTGAAGTTCTTAGTATAGCTATAATAATTTGTTTCATACTTTAAAAGAACTTTCATATCATTTCTTTCAACTGTTCAGCCATCATGTATTTGAATATTTATTATATATATTAAATGTTCAACGTATGCCTAATGTGCTGGAAAAGTTCCCATTTGATGCTCAAAGCCAATTCTGAGAGGCGAGAGTTCTGGCCTGGTGTCATAGCTGTATTTACAGATGAGATGACTTAGGTTCATGCTCACACATGTTAAATGAGTGTGTATCCATATATGTTCATTGATGCGTATGCACACACACACCAACTTTCTCACATGCCACACACATACACACTCACACATGCCACACACACACACACACATACTCACATCACACATGCACACACCACATGCATACACACGCTATACACATACACACATGCACACTCACATCACACACACCCCACACATAAGACACACACATATCACACAGATACATATTCTCACATGAATATACCACACATTGTACATACATACACACTTATATATATCACACATAAATACACACCACACATGCACCGGCAGATACACCATACACATGCTACACACACATACACACTCACTCACATGCCACACACACACACCCTGCACATAAGACACACAGCATATATACAGACACACATACTCACCAACATGCACTCTCACATGCATATACCACACGTAGAACACACACACACACTTACACATACCACACATAGACACCACACACGCACATACACCAGACACATACACCATACACATATACACTCACATGCTGTACACACCCTGCACATAAGACACACATATACCACACATACAGAGACACACACACTCTCACGTATATGCCACACATACACACACCACACGTGCAGACATACTCCCAGACATGGACACACACATTCTCACATGCATATACTATACACATGCACACACATATCACACTCTACATGTACACAACACAAATATAGGCACACACGCACACAAACACGTCTTGGACAGAGCAGTGTAAAGATACCAGCAGCAGTATGCGTGTGTCGTTGGAGGCAGATGTGAGCCTGTGTCTGGGCCGGGAGTGGCCGCTGGGTTCCACACTCAGAAGCAGGGGACTGGAGAGCCTGGGAGTTGCCCTTTGTGGTAAGACCGAGTGCATGTCACTCTTGGGTTTTCTGAAGCCACTGTCAGTTCACAGACTCTGCTGCCGTGCACACTGCGAGCTCTCTTGAAGTACTGGTAGGATGACGAAAACTTGAGAATGCATGTCGGTGTGGAACACATGCCGTGACGGATACGGGGAATGAGGGCAGGAGTGGCCCACTGAGGACAGCAGCAGCCCTGTGGCTGAACCTGGTCCATCCGGACTCACAAAGACTGGGCGACTCAGGCTTCTCATTTCAATTCCATCTCTTTCTTTGAATAATTCTTGGTAGAGGATGAGTTACTTAGGATACTCAGTCCTTGCACCTGAGAGGCAGGAAAGACATGGGAACGTGGGCTTCCTGCTGTGTCCATAGCACCTAGTGCATGCCCAGCGGGACCAACAGATATCTGCTAGATGAATGAATGAATGGCAATGCGCAATTCGGGTGTCAGAGGGGACAGTGTGACAGAAGTGCCCCAGAGACCAGGGAAGGGAGGATAGTCCAGACCTCAGTGTCACTAGCTGATCTGCTTCCCCTCAGAACCCCGAGGTTGCTAATCCAGGGGTCATACATGATGCATCTCTGTGACCTGGCCTTGCCTCACACCCAGAACCGTCCTACCTCATGAAGATGCAGCCTTTGGTCCTGAGGGCACCAGGTGGAAACTAGGTTCTTGGCAAAACCTTCCAAACATTACACCCCACTGGGTGTTGGCTGCACCTTCCTCATGTGAAATGCAATTTTACTTCAATTCTGTTTGCGATTAGTGTTAGGCAGAATAATGGTCCCCAAAGATGTGCCCATCTGAATCCTCGGAACCTGTGAGTAGTTGCAGTTATATGGCAGAGAGGCAAGGGGCAACAAGGTTCTCATCAGATGACCTTAAAATAAGGAGATTGTTTTGGGTTACCTAAGTGGGCCCAGTATAATCTCAAAGGTCCTTCCGGTGGAAGAAAGAATCAGAAGGCTGAGCCGGAGAGATGTCAGCTCAGCCATCAGGGAGTGTGTCCGCGGCCGGGAGCCACAAGGATGTGGAGTCTCCCCAGAGCCTCCAAGGAGAAGTGCAGCCCTGTGGCCCTTGGTCTTAGCTCACTGAGACCCATGTGGAGTTCTGGCCTACAGATAGCGCATGTGTGGGTTTAAGCCGGTGATTCTGTCTTTGGTCATTCGTCCCAGCCGCCTGGGAAGCTCATCCGTAACTCTAGTAGCCGGAAAGACTGAAAGCCTGCCCGGGTGGTGTAAGGGCTTCCTGAGAAGTCCTTGACATTCCTCAATAGAAAGCCAGGGGCAGGCGTTGGTGAGGACTGTGGTTGTCTCGGTGCTCAGAGGCACAGGCCACGGCCTGGTGCTATGGTCTCGATGTCAGGAGTGAGTCAGTCTGGACTGCAGGGTGGGCGCATACACATGTCGCCACGGTGTACTTTGCTCAATTTCTGTTCTGTTCTAAGGAGTAAAGCACCCAGGGAAAGTTTCCCAAATAAAGTCTAGGCCCTAAAGCAATGTTTTACTGACTTAATGCAGGAAAGCAGTTTTAAGTCTCTCAAGAAAACAAACATGGCTTTGTATTTGGTGTCGAGCCCAAGGAGGCCGTGTGTCCTCGCCATGTGGGTTGCATCTTCCCCAAGCTAATATATGTGTGAGATCCTGGGCTTCAGAGCCTGGGAGGAGAGGCACCCTCCACCGGGGCAGGCAGCTGGCTGTTCCCCTGTCTGATCAGTGACCTCTGTGGCGAATCGGCGACAGGGGAGGCTCCCCACACAGGGCTTCTGGGACTGTCAGATGCACCCATGGGGTTCAGCGATGTGTCCCGGGGTTTCCACGGGCTGTGACACTGATCTTGCCCAGCAGCAGCCAGTGAGACTGGAGCAGCCGTGAGATGCAGGAGTGTCAGGCACTGTGGAGAGCTGGGAGGTGTATTTTCCCTAAAAGCAAACTGTTCCACGCCAGATTTTTTGTTTGATTGTTTTTAATTTTATTTTTTATAGAGGCAGGGTCTAGCTATGTTGCCCATGCTGGTCATGAATTCCTGGTCTCAAACTTCCCAAGTGTTGAGATGACAGATGTGAGTCGCCTTGCTCAGCTAAATAATTCATGTTCTTTTTTCTTTTCTTTTCTTTCTTTTTTTTTTTTGAGATAGGTTCTCCCTCTGTCACCCAGACTGGAGTGCAGTGGTGTTATCATGGGTCATTGCAGCGAACTGGAGGTCTCTTCCCCACCCCCCACCCCCCAGCACAGCAGTCTCTTGGCGGGGTGCCTGCCCCAGAGAGTGCCAGCCAGAAAAGCCCCAGCCCTGACCTTGGTGGGGTGGGGTGGCCTCTGCGGGCTGTGGGGCCAGGCTGTCTTCCCTAGGTGACTGTTCCCCCTGAGCGGGGCCGAAGATCTGCTGTCCACCCTCTGGAGCTACAACACTGGCCACCCAGAGCCCGAAGGATGGCATGTCTCTGTAAAAACAGAGTCTGTAATTTCAAAGAAAAAAGCCTAGCACAAAATAGAGAAGTGGAGTGGAAAGTCAGAGAGACACTTGAATGTGAAGAAATATGGGACTGCTGAAATGTGGGTGGAGAGAGAGGGCAAGAGCAGGGAGCCACTGCAGCTGACTTCAGGGGTCCCGCTTCCCGGGGGGAGACCTTTCCTCATGCCACTGAGGGGTCCTGTTTACAAAGACTCTTCGTGAATTATTTTCTGAAAAACAAAACAAACAAAACATTTCTAACTTAGTAAAATTTGCAACAGCACAGATGAACTTGGAGAACATCACGCTCGGTGAAATAAGCCAGCCACAGAGACAGGTACCACATGGCCACATTCCTCAGTGGAATCTAAAACAGTAGGAACTCATAGAGGCAGAGTAGAATGCTGGTGACTGGCTGAGGGGGATGGGGAGCTGTTGGCCAAAGAGTAGAATTGCCACTAGACAGCAGGAGTAAGTTTAAGAGACCTGTTGCACTGCATGGTGACTGTAGTTAATAATGATATATTTTGGAATTGTTTGGCATATATTTTGGATGTTCTCATCACAAAAAGAAAATCAGTTTGTGAGGTGAAGGATATGTTAAATAGCTTGATTTAATCATTCTGCAATGTATATATGTGTCAGAACATGACACAGTACTCCATGAGTATATACAATCATGATTTGCCAATTAAAAATTTGAGAAGTAATTAAGAAATTAAGTTTTCCAAGTTGTGGAAGCAATGAGGCTTCTCCAAGGTCAACTTGGATCACTACTGCTTCCGTCACCTGTTCTGGGTCACACTATTCCAGTCCAGTCAGCCCATCCTGGAGGGATCTGTTCAGGACACATGTGGCTCTCTACCCATGCCCAGAAGACCCGCCTGGTCATGAGGTCACTGGGGATTGTCCAGCACTCAGGCAGGTCCTCCAGTCCCGGGGGAAAGAAGCCATGTGTGATGTGGGGTGACTGCTTCCTGATGACTCATCAGTGTGGAGTTTGCATATGAACAAAGGTGTCTTTTCAAGCTCCTTGGCCAGAATCCTCTGTGGGAGCCTCCAGGTGTGTAGGCATAACTGTGTGCATCTATGGGTCACATTCAGAATCATGGCAGTGTGCAGGAGACAGATGGCCCTGCTCACATGTATAAGGTCTGAAACAATCTTTGTCCACGTGTTATTTAAGCCTTTTTGTCTTGCTACAAAGAAATGCTGGAGACTAGTAATTTATAAAGAAAAGAGATTCGTTTGGCTCATGATTCTGCAGCCTATACAAGAAACATGTCGCTGGTGTCTGCTTCTGGGGGAGGCTTCAAGCTGCTTCCACTCACAGCAGAAAGGGAAGGGGAGCTGGTGTGCAGAGATTTCATGGAGAGTGTGGAAGCAAGAGCAGGTTGGCGAGATGCCAGGCTCAGTGTAACAACCAGTTCTCAAGGAAACTGATAGAGTGAGAACTCAGCCTCCCCACCAGGGCATCCATCTATTTATGAGGGACCTGCCCCTATGACCCTAACATTTCCCGTGAGATCCCATCTCCAACATGAGGTCTGGAAGGGGAAAACATCCAAACTATATAGCCCATGTCAAAAACTTCCCAGCATATATTATTACACTGGACTCCAGAGTTAAGAAACAACATAATATCTAAATAAATATTTCCAGGTAGAAATTTTAGTGTGAGTACCTGTCTAGCATATTTTGGGAAAGTGAGTACTACGGCTGTGACTAATAAGGTCACGGATAGTAATGCAGTTGGCTGAAACCAAAACCAGACAGCTCATACAGCAACATCAGATTGTTACAGGTGTCATCAGAAGTCCAAACACAGTTATTCTTCCTGTCTATGCCCTCTGTCATTTCAATAAACTTGCTTTTATTTTAAAAAAAAAAAGAAATCCAAGCACATTAACATATATTTTGTTCCTGTTACAAGCCCTTCAATCCCAAATTACTGGGGGGAGTTTAGGAAAGAGTCTGTCACTCCCTCAGCTGGCTGCAGCAAAGGCCCTACGTTGCCACTGATTTCAGTTTAAAATTGGTCTGGAGGTGACACGTTGACATAGGACTTCCCATGGTGGGCCTGTGTCACAGTCACATGACAAGTGGTGCCCTGGATTGTTGCCAGCCCCAGGTGGGCTCAGCTGTGCAGCTGAGATTTGTACTGAGAGTGTGGGACCCCCTCGTTGGCTCAGCCTTCAGAAGAGGGACACTGCTCATCCGGCCGTAGCCTGCTCAATTTTCCCATAAAAGGAAAAAAAAACACAATTTTTCTTTCCCTAAATAAAGATAGGTGAGAACCTCTATGAGTTGGCAGTGCCCACTTCTCAGTGTCCCCCACCCCCCAAGTAATCCAGAATTGAGAAACACCAGCTAGTTTACTTTGGGGCCTTCCTTCTAGGCTCGAGGTAGAGTTGCAGCCCTGACTTCCAGCTGCTAGTCTTTGGGCGTTGACTCTCCCCCTCTCTCCTGAGTATCTTCATCCTGAAAATGGGAATAGCATACCTTACAGGGACCCTGTGAAGGCTGGAAACAGTGAATCTCGATGGCCTGTGTGGGGTCCCGTGCGTGCAGCCCGCAGAGAAGGTGTCCACCAGCAAGGCCCTTGTCACCATATTTTTACCCACGAGTTTTCTGTTCTGGATTCCAGCATGGCTGTTTGTTCTCAGAACGTCATTGGCTGAGGTCAGTTTCCCGGGGGTGCTGTTGCAGCTGTTGTTGGGAAAACTTGCTGATGACTTCCAAGCTAGGAGCTGTGAAGATGACTTATGTCACCCCTCGTGCCAGAGAAATCGCATCTCCATCACATATTGTGAGGTATATGACAAAGTCCTTTCTATTCCAGGGGCTGGAGCGTCCAAGAGCAGGCAGGGTTTGCTTCAGGCCCTTTACTGGTAGCACTTTGTAGTCTGTCACCATTTAGGGACATTTGCCATAATTTCGTTCTGGAGGAAACTGCAGTGGTGATATTTTTAGAAAGGCTCTCTGGGGAGAAGAGGTTGCTTTCGTGATTTCTGACTCTGCGTGGTAGGAAGAACTAGCCCCTGGGCAGGTGCTGTGAGCCAGGGACTGAGTGGAAGGTGAGTGTTTTCAGTAAACTGTCACAGGAGGAACCTCAGGGAAAGGCATATCACAGTGCTTTGGCCCGGGCTGCCACCCCCAGTGAGGGAAAAGGCTGATCCGTCTGCCTGGCTCTCAGTCCCCTCTCCACGTTAGGTGAGGAGTGCCCATATATTCAGCGAAGCCCTTTCACCTTCAAAATTCTGATTTGGAGGAAGCAGGAGGCTCGGGCCTGGTGGCGTGAATGAAACGCTTCTGCCTTGCCCCTACTACACACCCTGAGTGAGGGGCTACTGGGTCTCTGGGCATCTGGGGCAGACCTTGAATTCCATGCGGGTCCCTGGGCAGTACTGGTGCAGCCTCTGGGAACCCGGGCTGAGTCCTGCAAAGCAGAGCATCTTGGGAAAAGCCTGGGCATGCGGAACATTCATCCTCTTGGGGAAAGGGGCCATTTGTGGTTGCAGGGGGACTGGACTCCCTGGGTCTCTGGGCTGCTTTTTCCTTGCACCTGGGGTAAAGGTTCTGGGGATTCTCTGTGCTCCACACTCTCTCGGGGAGGCCACTTCACCTTCCCTAAGGAAGGGTCTGGAAAGCAGATAAGAGCCTTAGAGTGCTAACCATGAATAGTGACTGTGCACCCACAGGGGCAAGCAGCCTCAGGGAGGAAGGAGCTTTGGACAAACTGAGCTCACACCCAGTGACATTGCTGCTGGGGATGACCCATGGCCTCTCAAAGAACTGCCTGGAATGCTCAGGGAGCACAAGGAATACTTAGAACAGGAAGTGGGGAAAGGGTCTACACAGTAGGAATAAAAACCACACAAGACTTAGGAATAAATTTAACAGGAAAGCCCTGGGACCTTGTCAAAGAAGAGCGACAGCGTCATTTGGAAGGGTGTAGGCAAGCAGGAGGCAGAACCTGGCTTTCACGGCCTGGCAGGGTGGGAGGAGTAGGTATCAGTGCAGCGCCTGTTTTCCTGAGAGCAGCAGGCAGCGTACCTGGCACTTCTACCCAGGGGGTTCTGTTGGAGTGGAATAAAGCGACCTTAAAGTTTATGATGCCCTGATATAGCAAGAGAATTTTAAAATGAAGATGGAAAAAGGAGTCACTTTTCATACCAGGTATTGGAACCAGGCCTGCGACCAAAAGCCATGTGCAACGCACAGGTGCCCTCAGAGAGTGGAGCAGGAACCTCCCACCTTGTGCTGCTCCAGGGCCCCTTACCCTGGGCCTCTTTCACCCCACTCAGAGGAGCGCCTCTGCCAGTTTCCAGGAAGACTCGACTCGGCCCTCAGGCTAGTGGTGGAGCTGACTGGACACTTGCTGTCAAGCCATGTGTTGACGTGGAAAAGGACAAGTAAACAGATAATGTCCCAAACCACTGATATCATATATGACAACAGAGTGGGTGTTTAGGTTCAGTGGGAGAGAATGATTCCTACTGTTGCTACAACTGACTGGCTGGAGGAAACAGCGTTGATCCTTCAGCTGTAACATACAAAAATTAATGTTGGGAAAAATTATTACACACAGAAAACTTCTCCGTAAGAAGGGGAGTATATTATTTCTGCCCATTTCCTGGGAATGTCATGCTGTGAATGAATGGATGCATAAGAAATTACCTTGAAAACTCTGGAAGCGCCCTAAAGTGTGGTACATGCATCACTAACAGGCCTGTGATTGGGGCGTCTTGATGTCTACTGAGTTATTTTGAGAGAGACCCATGATAGCCAGAAAAAGCCACAATAGGAATGATGTTTAAAAATAAAGTTATAAGTCGGGCTCGGTGGCTCAGCCTGTAATCCTGAGCCTTTGGGAGGCTGAGGTGAGTGGATTGCCTGAGCCCGCGGGTTCGAGACCCACCTGGGCAGCGAGACCTCATCTCTACAATAAATAAAAAAATCAACCGGGCGTGGTAGCGCATGCCTGTAATTCCGGCTACTCGGAAGGCTGAGGTGGAAGGATCACCGGAGCCCAGCAGGTCGAGGCCGCGGTGGCTGGGAGTGGCCACTGTACTCCAGTCTGGGTGACAGAGTGAGACTCCAACTCAAAAAAAAATAAAAAATAAAAAATAAAAAATAAAGTTATATATTAAAAACTCACTAAGAGGTACGTGATTGGTCTGGTCTTCAGGCACCATTTTGCTTTCATAAACTAGTATTCTCTTGGGAAAAATCTACTAGTTTGGGTATTCATTGTTGCAAGTGGTGAACACTTGCGTGATTTGAGCGTAGCACAGTGTGTCACTTTTTCTGGGCCTACACACTCAGCATTCTTTCTTCATTCTAAAGAAGCCACTGACCCTGTTGTCTGGGGGAGAGCTCAACTGGGACAGTGCTCAGCCCTTGCTGACTTCCCTTCAGAGAGGCCAGTTTCTACTCATTTTTATTCACTGAGCAGGCTGTCCCCTGCACACATGTGCTTCCACATCTGGCATACTTCTTAGAGCTCATATCACTTTTAGGAGACTTACGATGGAACGTATCTTAGAAAATACACTTTATGTGTATAGTGTAAACAACTGTATTTTTGGTAGTTTTACTATTGGAAGATTCACTCCAGAAAAGTCAATGCCAAGTATCATCTCTCACTGTGTGTCCTGTTTAGTATGGGACTGAGAATCCGTGAGCACATCTCACAGAAGAGGCAGATGTTCCGGTTTATGATGGGGGGAAGACACATTCTGGGCGTCATGCAGCATGCTTGGCTCTCTTTCCAAAGCAGATTCTTCCGTTTCTGTTTCAGTGCTGAGTTCTTACCTACATAATTTTTAAAATATGCTGATTCTGTGAACATTTACTTAATCGTCTATTTTCCAGAATGTTTGTCCTGGGTGCTTTAAAGGAGTGCTTCTTAGACCAGGGCGATTTTGCCCCCCACCCCCGTCCCCAGTCATTTGGCCACATCTGGAGCCATTTTAGGTTGTCGCAGTGAGTGGGGTGAGGACGCTGCTGGCACCCATAGAGGGGACGCCAGGTGTGCTGCTCAACATCTGCAGTGCCCAGGCAGCTGTCTAAACAAGTCTGGGAAACCTTCATAGCAATGGCTTTCTCTCATTCTGGGCTGTCAGCTGCTCTCCCTGTTATGCAATGAATGTATATCAGATTTGGGGTAAATTTATGGTCTTGCTGGACCTGATGTAAAATGTCTCCTTTCTCTTTCTCTACACACACGTGTCTTCATTTGTCCACCATCTGAAAAATACATTCCACGGAGGCCTTTGTTCATCCTAAAGCATCAGGCCTAATGTTTGTTGCACGAGATTCTTGGTCTCTTGTGGTGATCCTGCCACTCAGGGCCTGCTTCACTGCATCCTGAGTTCACGTTTGCCCCCTCTTGGTTGGCCAAGGAGTCCTGCCATCTCACCTTGCCTGGCAGCCTCTGTCTAGTTGACTTGCATTGTTAGGCTTGTTCACACGGTCAGCTTAAAAAAAAAGTTTTCTGTGACTTTTTCTAGATAATTTATGTTTGGACCTACATGACTTTGAAACATTCAGAGGAAAACACACTCAGCTGTTTTGTCTGTAAGACACAAAGCATCCAGATACTTCTTACCTACTGCATTCCTGTTGGGTTAGCAAATGTCACACAGGTTTAGAGGAGTTTTCTCTTTGTGGGGATTCATTGTTCTGAGCCAATGAAATCATGCAGGATGATGCTAAACACGTAACCATGTTTTACATGCGACCACACTTCAAGCAGCACCTGTCTGTGTGCTGTATTTCTTTGAAATCCTGTGAACAATTATACCGTCTTTATAATTAAGAAAACCAAACACCACTTGTTCTCATTCACATGTGGGAGCTGAACAGTCACAAAGCTGGGGATAATAGACTTGGGGGACACCGATAAGGGGTGGAAGTTAGGGTTCAGAATCTATCTTCGGGGCACAGTATTCACTGTCTGGGGAGTAGGCCACCGGAGACCCAATCCCCACCATGACACCATATGTCCATGTAACGAATACCCCCGAATGTGTACATGTGCACCCCTGAATCTAATTAAAATTAAAAAGAAAACAAATAGCTGCTCTTGCTTATTTTTAAACCACAAATCAGACATAAGACAGCACATTTGTACTATTTCTGTTAGTCAAAATAAAAAACTTGCTTCAAAATAATAGTGGGGAAAAATCATGCTCAGAAAGACCAGGAAGGGTGAAGTCAGAATAGTGATCATGACCTCTCAATCGAGTGGTCACTGTCGATAGTTGGGTGCCAGCAGGAGGGCATGAAGCCCGTGGGACAGGAGCAGAGGGCCATGGGACCACAGGCAGGGTCCGCTGGGGGAGGCAATAGAGACAGTTCAGATGCTGGTGGACAGGTCAGGAGCCCGGGGGTCTTGGGTCAGGAACTGCACCTGCTCCTGCTGGGGACGAGTCACCCCTGTGGATGAGACTGCGCCAGGGCTGTGTCCCTAAGTGAGGCACTGGCCCGATGGGAGGCCTCTTCATTCATGATCGATCATTCCAAAGCCAAGGACCTAGTTCTGTTTATAAATATTTTCTACAGGCGGGATTTTGTGGCAAGGGGGAGGCTTTGTGCAGAAGTGACTGTCCGGCAGCCGTGTTAAAATGCCCTGCAGGTGTCGAATGTGTCCTGACCACATGGGCAGCACCTCTCAGAGCTCCCGAGCCGGCCTGAAGACCAGAGGACAAGCAGCCCTCCCGTCCTCGTGGAAACTCAGGCAGTCCCCGAGGTGAGCATCCGGGAGGGCAGTGTCTCTCTGGAGCTCCACCCAGATGGACCCATAAAGGATGCCCTCATCTCAGTCTGCTGAGGCCAATGCGGGGTGCACTTTTTGGTTTGAGGCAAAACCCGTAATCTGGTGACTTCGGGCCTGGGACAAGACGCCTCCTATGACTGGCAGACAGTCAGGTGTTTCGGCCATTGGATTGGAACTAGTCATTCTGTGGCTGTGTCAGATGCTGGCGCAGGTCTGGACCCATCGGCCTTCCCTCCCTTTCCCAAGCACAGCAATCTTCTCTTCTCAGACCACACTGGTCCCTGGCCTGTGTCGTTCAACAGGGGAAGGAGGGTAGGGTGCAGTGGCTCATCCTATCGTCCCAGCACTTTGGGAGACCGAGGCGAGAGGATTGCCTGAGCCCGGGGGTTCGAGACCGCTTGGGCAACTTGGTGAGACCTCGTCTCTACGATAAATCAAAAAAATAAGCCGGGTGTGGTAGCGCGCACCTGTAGTTCCAGCTACTTGGAAGGCTGAGGTGGAAGAGTCGCCTAAACCCGAGGCTGCAGTGGCCATGAGCATGCCACTGCACTCCAGCCTGGGTGAAAGAGTGAGACTCCAACGCAGAAAAAAAAAAGGTGGGCGGGTGAGAAGGAAGAGCTTTTGCTTAGTGTTTCGCAAAGCCTTGCTGAGATGTCCTTCCTTTAGGCTACTGTATCAGACAGGATGTGCCTTCAAAGCCAAGTCTCCCCGGGGCTTCCCATGTACCCTTGGAGTTGCCAGACTTGTGTGACTTTGGAGGACTCAGACTCTCCATCCGTAAGTGAGAAGGTCCTGTTAGGATCGTGGGGGTACTTTCTGAGAGGAAACCTGTGATGTGCTCTGTGCAGTGCCCGGACCAAGATGAGTGGTGTGGGGGCTGCTGTGCTTGTTTTCTTTCTGTTGTTATTACTAATCATTAGATGATGATGTGTCTCGATGCTGAGAGGAATTCAGCATCTGGATCTCCAGCTGGTGTGGCAAAAGCCCTCCATCACCCATGGCCTCGGTTGGAAGGCCTTATACGGAGGCCCGGGCAGGGAGGTTAGTGTGGGGAGGCCCTTGTGGGAAGACCCACTAATGAAGGTCAGGCCTCTCAGAAGCCTCTGTGGACCCCCAGATGTGCTCTGTGGGTGGATAGGAGGACCTTTCATGGGGTGCCACTGAAAGGAACAGTCTCCAGAAGTGGAGTAGTGCTTTGGGGTGCTGATATGCACACATTCCGAGGTGTTCTTCTAGCTGTGTGTTCCCGGCCAAGGCAAGGGCAAGGCAGATGCATTGAGGCAGCTGGCACTCTGCCCTGGGCTCCAGCTGGAGTTGCTGACCTTCCTCCCAGCCCTCACTCACCGGGATGTGGTGCACACTGTTCTCCCCAGGTGTGACCCCTCCCCCATCCCTAGCACACCCTCCCTCCACCTCCACCCTCAGCACACCTTCCCCTTGCCTAGTGCGTGCTCAGCTCTCATCTCCACTGTGGTTCTCCCCATACCCCCTCCCCAGGGATCCACAGTAGGGACTCCTGCCACCTTTGAGCCAGAAGCCCCAAACATGCATGTTTCAAAGCTGTGACATCTTTGAATGCCTGTGACATCCCCTAAGAGCCTGTCCCGCACGGCCCCCTAGCTCCTTGAACCCAGAATTGCCCACAGTTGGGCGCTGTCTCTTCTCCAAGCCAACCTGCTCTTGGGAAAGGTGGTGGTGCCTGCCTTCCAGCCACCAGAGATGAAGCCCTGACGCCCGCTTCCCTGGTCTCATCATTCGTGCTTCCAGTCACACAGATGATATGGTCAGACTCCCCCACCTATCCTTTCTTCCTCTCTTGCAAAGACCTGTGACCTTGAACCTGCTATGAAAAGTCACTTTGATCAGACACTCTTATCTCTGGTTTGGGCACCAGCCTCCCCAGCCTCTTCCCAAATCAAATTCCACTCTTTAGTTTAAGTAGTCCCCTTAGGGTGGAGTGGGATTTAGGTTAAGGTGAGATTCTTTCCATCCTTGGAATCTGGTTCATATGCCCCCTCTTTTAGGAGGCAGTCTCTGGTTGCTTACTCAAAATAAATGTTCTTCCTCTCAGCCTGTTAATTGTTTTTAATTTTTTGTTGTTGCTTGGACGGGGTGGCTCAGCATTTTGAGAGCCTGAGGCAAGAGAATCACTTGAAGACAAGAGTTTGAAACCAGCCTGGGCAACCAAGCGAGTCTCACGAAGAAGGAAAAAGTAATTCTCAAACCTTAAAAATCTCCATCTCCTCTTTCTCTTCATGACTTTCTCACATGCCCATCCCAACCCAAGAGACATTCCTTTTTCTGGTTGCTCTTGCTGGAGGAAGCATAAGTTTAAAAGGGGAGAGAGCAAGGGAGGCAGGTGAGATGCCCCCTCTTGTTACCCTCATTCTGTCCCCCACCAGCAGCACTTTGATCAGACTGGTGAATATGTGGAAGATGGTGGAGTGGAGACCCCACGGATCATCATGAAAGTGAACTGCAGTACATTAAAGCTGGCATTCTGGGAACGTGGGGGCCATGGGGAAATGTGAAATATGACTGTAGACAGTTAGATGATGCCAGGGTAAAAATCCAAACATGTATGCGTGCTATTAAGGTTTTAACTTCTTGTTCATCTCCTAAACTGCCCCAAAGTGGATGAAGCCAGTGTCTTCACATCAGGTGCTCTGGAGAGGTGGGGACGGGAGACTGTGTGCACACACTGGACTCCCAGACACTATCAGGACACGGTCAGGGTTGTGTGGCAGGTGGTTGCATAACCACAGCGACTCTGTGTTGACAGCAGTTGTTAAGCTCGAGTGACCCTGTCACATTGCAAGTGAGGAGGCACTTGTCGTGTGTGGAATCAGAAGTGAGTGTTCGTCTTCCTCGTGCACCTCTCCATCCATCCCAGAAGGACCTTGCTTGTGAACTCAGCCGTGAGTTGATAGACCAGGCTGGAGGTCAGGAGCAGGACAGTACGTGTAATTGTTGTGACTCGATTGTGCATGGGGTGGCAGTGTGTCTCCAGGGAGTTAGTGGGTCATGGGTGATGCTGGAATTTGTTGTCATCTTAAAATATTTTGCTCCTTTACTCTTAGGGAAAACTGTAGCCAAATAACTTTCCGTGCAAACCTGGTTGAAAACAGTGTATTAAAGGTAAAAGTACAATTCTCTCATTCCCTGCATGGGCTTTTTTCTTTTTATAAACTGTTTAAGTTTGTTTGGTTTTAGGAACTAGATCCTTCACCTTCCCTACTTGGGAGAGATTTTTAAATACGTTGGAGAGAAGCTCGCTGGGGCCTCACCAGGCGGAAGTCGAGGGAGCTGCCGGGGGTGGGGTCTCATTCCAGGTGCCAGGTCTCTGTGCAAGCTCGTGAGGTTCTTGGCACAATTCAGCTCTTCACGGAGGAAGGTCTGAGAGGTCTCACCCCCCACCCCACCCCACCCCCTGACTCGGGGCTAGGAGGTGCGTCCTCAGGCCTTGGCTGTTTGGCCCTCCTCTGCCCTCAGACCAGATGTATAGACTCTGGCCAAGTCAGGCTCACTGACTTGCCAGCCTTTTGTGGGTGTGTCTGCAGGGGCTGGGGAGCCCGGGGCCATCTCAGAATCCTGCCGCTGCCATTGTCCTTAGAATTCTAGCCATATCATGCAGGCAAATCAGATAGAGTCACTTCCTACAGTTGCTGTCAACTCATCTAGTGTATTGGGGACTCTTTTAAACCTGACATTTTAGAAAGTGCAGCCAACCTGTATATCTCAGGACAACCCTGCAGTGTCCGAGGAGTGCAGTGTTTGTCCAGTTAGGGCTTGAGCATGGGCATTTGCAGGGAGGCCCTAGTGTCCTGGGTCCTTCTAGGACTTTTCCAGTCGACCTATCCTCCTGAACATCATGCACAGTGACCTGAGAAATGGAAGGTAGTCCCAAATGCTCCACCCCGCTGCTAATGAAAGCCTCAAGAAGGACGTTATTTGGGGTGGTGCCTGAGAACTCTATCAGTGGATTTATTTCCGCCTTCTCTGTAGTGCTTTCCCTGTGTGCACGTGGGGGGGTGGAATGTGGAACGTGTGTGGGGGTAAACTGCACTGTGAGACGGCCTCCTGCCACCCACTTCCTCCACCACCCCTTCTTTCTGTCATCACCGTCTGTGAGCTGTCCTTTCATCCAGAGTCCTGGGAACCAACGTTGTTAGCTGTATGAGTGTGCTCAGGCTAGGATAAAGCAGCACGGACTGGGCAGCTTCAACAGCAGATTTATGACCTCACAGTTCTGGAGGCTGGATATCTGACATCCAGGCATGAGCACGGCTGGTCCCTTCCGAAGGGTCTCTGGCCTGCAGACAGCCACCTTCCCCTTGTATCCTCACACCTGTGTGTGCCCAGCCCTGTGGTCTTGTTCTCTTCTTGTAAAGACACCAATCACATGGATGAGGGCCCACCCTTGTGATCGCATTTTAATTTAATTACCTACATAAAGACTCTAAGCCCAAGTGCAGTCACATTCCGAGGTCCTGGGGGTTAGGACTTTAACCTAGCAATTCTGGAGGGGACACAGTTCAGGAAAGGCTGGAAAACATAAATAAATATTACACTCCCATGAAAGGAATATATATATATATGTGTGTGTATATATATATATGTATATATATATACACACACATATATAATACACACAAATTACATATAATAAAAATGAGAGATGTGCAGCAGGCAGGGATGTGGCTGGTACACGTGGGCTCTGGGCTCAGTGCACGGAGCTCCAAGTGAGAAAGTGGTGGAATTTGGGCCTCCATGAGGAACCTCCTTTCTGTGACCTGCTGAGGTACTAGGACCTGGACATGCTATTCTTCATAAGTGATTCGTGAGTCTGGGTCTTACAAAGCCACCAGCCTGCAGTGGGTGTCCCTGGGGACTGCAAGACCTTTTCTCGGGAGTCAGTGTTCCTTCTGCAGCTCACATGGGCCCCCCATCCCAGCCCACCCACAAGGACAGTGGCCCAAGGTCTGCACGTGGTGTGTGTCACTGGGCGTGTGGAGGTGTGGGGGACAGTCCTTCGGGGCCCAGATGCCTCCCCTGCAGCTAGTGTCTGACCCCCCCCAGGGGGCCAGCCAGCTAATGTTTTATGATTACAAAGCAGATGGAACTGACATTCCTTTTGATGACGGTTATAGATGGAGTGTAATTAGCCTGAACTAAACATGATGCCTCCAAGCTGAAAGCGACCTCTCCTTCCGTTCCTCCCTCACCATCCCAGGACTGCCCATCTCCTGGGGACCCTCTCAAACCAAAGCCTGCCCCTCTGACTCTCAGGCAGATGCTGCCTTCCTATGACCCAGCAGTGACTTATCTTTGAGAACCTTTCTTCTGAAGGGACAGGCCCTCTTTCAGATTGCTTCATATTCTCTGTAGAAACCCGGCACGTGGTCATGACATAGAACAAAGTCGGAAAAGCTAGTGCTTGTACTGATAGAAAGTCAAGGTCTGCCCTTTGGAAAAGGAACAGGCATGTGGCTGAAATGTTTTAATGTATTGAACATCAAAGCCGTCTCCACACTCGGAAGGGGTCAAGCCTTTTGGCAGTGATCCTACAAGCTGCATGGCCAGGTGATCTAGTGCCACTGCTGTGCCTTATATTGGAACTGGCTCTGATGGGATGGGCCTTGGTGTGGCTGGTGGGCCCTGCCCACAGTTTCCTGGGCTGACCATGGAGGCCCACGTGGCCAGCAGGTGGCAGGGTATGTCCCAGTGGGAGAAGCATCTTTGAGGAATGCTTGGCTTTGTGGGTTGTCCCAGAAAGAATGCCTTTGTGGCCATATTCAAGGCTTCCCCGTGCAACCCCAAAGGGCACTATCTAGTGGTTGTGTCTTGCTGTGCATTTACTTTTGAGGAGAGAAGCTGTGTAGAATTTATCTTTATTCATGCTGTAGCGCCCTAGAGCCCCAGTGCTGTGCTTTGTAGGTGACTGGACTGGTGGATTGTGAATTAGAGGAATATAGGAAAAGAGAGCCTTAAAACGGAATGAGGGATGTCTCTTCTCAGCCTCTTGGGCTCCAGATGGCTAAGACCCTCCAGAACTTTGCCAGGGTTCCCTCAAATCCATGCTGTGGGAGAGAACAGTGGTGAAGAATCGTGGGTGGTTCCTAGCCTTCCATACTTCTTTGTGCTCTCATTCAAAGTTTGGAAGTCAGTCAGATGTGGCCACCACTGTCCACCTTGAGACCCAAGCCCCTTGCCCTTTTGGGAACTGGAGTGTAGCTTTATGGGGGAAGGGAGGGTTATAGTTAGCATGAAGTGTGTTGCTGTGCTTCATGCTCTCAACAATGTCACCTGAAGGATTGCTTGATGAGACATCCTGGTGTGTCGTGTTGAGATAAACTCATGTTCCTCCACCTAGTTAGAGAAGGTCAAACTTTCTTTAAGGAACTCTTAAAAATGACCTTCGGAAGGTTAGTTAGCCTATTTGTCCAGAATTTTAAAATATTTAAATAAGAATTTTATAGATCATGTTTTTGTCTAAATCCTCCTGGTCGTAGCTAGTAGGTCTTGGAGGCTGGCTGTGCAGGGCCTGTTCCAGGCCAGTGGCTTGGCATGTGTTCAGCAGACAAGGGGTCGACTGTGCTCCAGCTGCCCAGGGACCCTCTAACTGCTGACCTGAAGTCCAGTTTCACGTGGCTTAAAGGGTTTTAATTTAAAAAAAAAAATTTAATTGTGATAAAACAAACATAACATTTGCCAGTGTAGCTACCATTAAGTGTATGATTCAGTGACACTAATGATACGTGCAGAGGTACAATCATCACTACTATCTGTTACCAGACCTTTTCCATCACCACAAACAGAAGCTCTGTGTCGATTAAATGATAACTCCCGTTCTGCCGCCCTCAGCCACTGGTAATTTCTGATTATTTTCTGTCTATGAAATTTGCCTTTCCTGGGTACCTCACAAGTGGAATCGTGCAACATCTGTCCTTTGCAAATGGCTTATCTCACTTAGCATGATGTCTTGTAGGTCCGTTTGCTTTCTAGCATTTCTTGTTTATAAATAGATAATATTTTGCCGTGTGGATAGACCACGTTGTGTCTATCCACTCATCTGTCCTTTTGTCTGTTGTGAATAATGCTGTAGTGAACTGACTTACAGCCACCTGGTCCAGTCCTTGCTTTTAGTTCTTTTGGGTATGTCTGAGAAGTGTTCATTTTAACCAAGTGAGCAGCTCATTATATTTACAGTGGTGTGCAGACATCACCACTATCTTATTCCAGGATATTCAGTCACCCACGGGGAGGCCCTTTGCCACTAGCAGTTACTCTCCGTCCCATTCACTCAGCCCTTGGCAGCCACAAGCCACTTTGTGTCTTAGTGGTTTTGCTTGTTCTATATGTTTCATATAAATGGAGTCCTATGATTTGCGGCCTTTATGAATATTCTTTTTTCCTTACTTTGAGTGGTCTTTAATGGTGTGAATATTCTTTTTAAAGCAACTTTTACCATGGGACTTTCTGGTGTCTGTGGAAGCTGGATGGTTAGATGAGCTCCACGTGGCTATCACGCAGGTCCAGCGGGATCAGCTCTTGCCAGTCTCACTAACCAAAGTCTCTTTACCAGGGAAGAGAAGAAGTATGTCAGCCGGTTCTGGAAGGACATCTGCGTAGGAGACTTTGTGTGTCTCCGCTGCAACGAGATTATCCCTGCAGACATCCTGCTGCTCTCCTCCAGCGACCCCGATGGGCTGTGCCACATTGAGACCGCCAACCTGGACGGAGAGACCAACCTGAAGCGGCGGCAGGTTGTCCGCGGCTTCTCAGAGCTTGTAAGTGGCCTGCGTCCCCAAGGTGTTGCATACATCACGACCACACATCATCCTTAATGCTGGCCCTCTGGGGCCAGGGCTCCTGCAGTTTTCCCCCTCAATCAGGCCGGGCTGCTTTCCCTAGTAATGGGGACTGAGGGTCTGCTGCCTCTCCCCACCCCAACCTCAGGCTCTTGTGCTCACCTGCTCTCTTGTAAGTCGTGGGTATACATTGGTCCAGCCTCCTAACACCAGAGTCAGCAGGGGACAGTGCCCTTCTCAATTCCCATGATCTCAGCCCATGCACACAGAGGGTGAGTTCTCCATAGTGAGTGCATGTGGACATCTGACTAGTGACAATTGGATGGTGTGAAGAACATGTTCCAGTTTAAGAACTGGGGGGCGGGTATGCAGATTTGACGTGGCAGGCAGGGAAGAGCCACAGGTGTGTCTCCTTGATCAACGCCCAAGAACAACATCCCATTTCCTATCATCCCTTCTTTCCCTACTTCTGAACCCATTTGTATCTCAAATCCGCCCCACCTACTTTTCTCCCAAATGCAATACTTCATAGCTCAGTGTTGCTTTGTATAAATAAGCTGCCTATAAATGTCTGAAATTTAGGTGTGGCTGCCGATAGACATATCCTGTCACTCTTCGTAAGGCCCCATGAATGCCTGAGGAAGTGGAGCTGAGCCTTAATTTGGTCAGAATGGCCAAAGTTAGCACCCTAATCAATTCAGATTTTTTAAAATGTCTTCATCACACCAAAATTGTTTAATACACATGCACATTCTATTTTTTTTTCTTTCTCTCTAAATGTCCAGAGATGGTTTTCTGGTACCTAAATTCCCATTCATACATTATTATTATGAAATAGAAGAACCATCTTACGGAACATAAAGGCAGCAAGTCTCTGAACTTTTAAAAACCCAGCAATGGGAAAACCACAATTCCAACTGCAACATTACAATGCCAAGAAAATTTAAGTGCTCTGTATTTTAGTGAGTTTTTTTCATAATACAGAGTTAGCAGGTGCAGACAGGTTAGGGACTGATAATGATATATGTCAAATGCAAAGTCATATTTTACCAGTCTGATGAATGGTCATTTGGAAATGGTGGCCTCTAGGGAAACGTAAATTAGCAATGATTTGCAAAACTTAGTTACAGATAAGGGATGCCCTTGGTATTCATGAGGGAGCTGGGTGTATTTATCAGGGTCCAGTCCTAAGACAGAAACCACACATACTTCAATCAGCATACATTTGATGTAAATAATTTTTAACGGGCATGAGATTTGAGAAGTGGACACTGAAGCACACAGGAAGGGCTGATGCAAGGGGCAACCACTTCCCCTGGCTCTGAAGCAGACATGCCCTCACATGCATGAAGAACCCCAAGTAGGGATACAGCCATGGCTCCCGGGATGGCAGCAAGGTCAATGAGGGACTGCACTGGTGGAACTTGCTGGAAGTCTTCCCTTGAGAGTCCAGGGGAGGCCATCCCAGGGAGGTGCCAAGCCTAGAAATCTGCTTCATGCCAGGCGCAACCACTGGGCAGGGAACTGCTAGAGCCAGGTCTTGGGAAGACCACGCTTGGTGTGTGGCTCTGAGGGTGGCCCCAGCCACTGCAGTGGATGAAGACTGGTGGTGGCTCTCTAGACAGCCAGTGCTGTGAAGCCAGGCGCTGGGTGCCAAGAGCAGCCGCCTGGGCCCGGGCAGGGCCCCTGCTGTCTGGACTTCTGATTGCTCTGGGCTAAGAGGTGGAAAAAGTGGGAGGCAGGCCGAGTCTTGGAAAAACTGGCAGAACAGAGTAAGTACACACACACACACACACACACACACACACACACACACACACACTCCACACCAAGGCTAGCCCTTCCTTCTCTGACCCCCTCCGGTGCTCTCTACTGACCAGGCAGAACTTGGCTTGTCTTTCCACCCGCCCCATTTTCAGAAACCATTTATGAAGTGCATGTTTGCTTGGGGAAGGGCCCTAAGGAAGAGAGACGTGGTTTGTGTGCTGTCGGGTGTAGTAACTTAAGATGTGGGACCAATACCCAGAATGCTTGGCCTGCCTGGCATTGAGTAGCAAGTCAAGCCATGAGAGCTTCTGTTAGGGGCCTGGGGCTGGAAAGGGGCCATCTGAGAGGTCAGGGGAGGCTTCCAGAAAGAGGTGCTTGAAGCATATTCCAGAGGCTAGACTGGGGAGGTTTTGGGTGCCAGGCAATAGAGGTGGAGACAGCGCTGTGTTTAATGAACAGCACTGGACAAATTAAAGAGTTGAGGGGCTGTGACAGAGAAGCAGGGAGGTGGGCGTGGCCCAATCAAACCCCAGAGCCTGAGGACAAGCCTCAGGCACCAGGCTGGTAGCCCCAGCACCTGGCAAAGGAAACATAGATACTGAGACTTAAAAATAAAGATTTGGGTCAGGCTTGGTGGCTCAGCCTATAATCCCAGCACTTTGGGAGGCTGAGGTGAGTGGACTGCCTGAGCCCATGGGTTCGAGACCAGACCGGGCAACTTGGTGAGACCACATCTCTACAATAAATAAAAAATTAGCCAGGCGTGGTAGCGTGCCTGTAGTCCCAACTACTTGGAAGGCTGAGCCGGAAGGATTGCCTGAGCCCAGCGGATCGACGCTGGGGTGGTGGTGAATGTACCACTGTACTCCAGCCTGGGCTACGGAGTGAGACTCCAACTTAAAAAAAATAAAAATTTAAATTAAGATTTGGTGTAAGAGTTGGAGTGGAATTGTCATTAAGAATTACGAGGGGTCACACTGGTTCAGGTTTCCTGGGGGCCAGCCTGTCTGTACCTCTACTATTGAGGTAAATAATTTTCTGAAGCATTTTCATATGCTTTAAAATATCCTGTAAGACTGATTGTAGTGATGAGAAACAGCAAAGTGAGGTTAGGAGGTTCTCCCCAGGTGGCTCCCCACGGCACCCTCAGGGATTGTGCAGTGCTAGCTGGTTCTTCCTACTGCTTGGACACACACGCTTCTCCAGCCCCCCATGAGGCTTCGTGCATTCAGTCATGGTATGGGAAGGAGTTTCTAGGTCATCCATAACATTTGCACAGTCATTTCTGCAGAGTAAGGAGTTCTTTGGGCTGAGAATTGCATAAAGAAGTCGGGGTTTTTTTGGAGACCCTTTTTGGTAATTTTTTTTTTCATCCAATACGTATTTATTAGCTTCAAGCCCCATTCTGATCAAAACTAGGGGACATCTTTGCCACATGGTGCATACTCAATCTCCAAGTAAATAATAAAGCAGAAATAGGGCTGTGAAGTGTCCGATGAGTGTTGGAATTTCAGCAGGGCAGGTAAAGGGGGACAGGGCGGGCTCCGAGCACAGCTGGGGGGGGTCCAGACTCGAGGCCACATCAGCGTCGGGAAGAGCCATGCAGGAGGTAGCTTCTCTGTGGGCAAATTTACTGAGAAAATATATTCCGACTGCTTGTCTCCTGTGTGGACCTGGTTGGATTGTTGCATGAGTCCCACCTGCACCGACGCATGTCTGTGCAGCACCGTGTGCAGCAGTGACAGTTAGGGCTGGGAAAGACCTAATGCTAACTTTTCCCGGGCTTGTGGCTGTGTGTGCATGCATGGACATGCGCCCTGGGGCATGTTCCAAATAAAAAAGAAAGATGAAAGGAGTGTGGAAACTTCCCTGGGCCGGGGAAAGCTGAACAAGCACTGCTCTAAAAGACCCACCTTCGAATCCCAGCCTGCAGGATCCTGAGATAGAGTGTGGTGTCCCTCTGCCTTGGGGGTACATTGTTACTAGTTCTTGGGTACAGGTGCTTTCAGGTTGGTCTCCTTTATGGAAGCAGTCAGTCCCACCCCAAATTACTTGACAGAATTCAAGAGCACAGAAAATTCCTTTGAAATTCCAAATATGTAGGAAACAAAATAACTTTTTAATTTCTACCTACACAGCTTTCCAAAATTCTCTCTACCACAGGAAAACTAGGAATTAAAAAGTACCATTTGCAAAGTAGTTTTTGTACTGTTTCTCTTTCGCTTTTCAAATTGTTAATCTGTAATTAAATTTAGCGACCTTGGCCATGGAATTGAATGAGGCAACATCATCTATCATCTAAGAGGAAAACGAAGACAGCTGGCTGGGTATGTTAATTGGATCGGCCAATATTAAGCCTCTACAAAAAGATTCATGGTTTTCTTTTATCACTGAAGTACAGTCAACAAGCTCATAATTTATACTAGGACATTTTCATTTTCAAACTTAACAGTCACATACTTTTACTGATGTCTGTATTAAATATGTAACAGGAAAGACACATATCTTGAGAATACAGTAGCTTTATTTATATTAAAATTTTAATTCCAACATGTATGGATATCAAAAGAAATTCAGTCGGGTAGGTAGTATGACTATCTGAGACATACTGTACTTTTTAGTATCAAAAATGGGGAATTTAAGTTTGGCCATATGACGACTTTTTTAAAGTTTCTAATTTTGGTGACTTCAAAATGGATTCTTTGTACTCATTAAATCACCTCTTACAGAGAGTAAAGTACTCTGATCTTAATGAAATGACAACCAAAGCAATAAGAGGTTTTTATTCTATTTAAGGTGGCATACAATATAAAATGCTATCTTTCTCCTTGACTATATTTTCACTGTAAAAAAAAAGGGAAGAGTAATTTAATTAAATTCCAAATTTCTTAAATGTAGTTGAATTGCAGCAGTACTTGCAATGGGTTTGAAGCTTTGTGTATTTTGTTGTGTGTGTTTCTGGAACAGGGGTTTTCTTTACAAGTAGGAAGAGCTGACAATGGGAGCTCTATCGATTTGACACCACGCGTGTCCTCACAAGTGGGTGTGTGTGTGCGAACAGAAGTGTATGCAAATACCTGCGAGTGTGTGCAGGTATGCAAGTGTGAGTGCATATGTCTCAAAGAAGAAAGAAAAATGCAGTGATATTGCTCTATTAGGCATCGCTGTGTGTTGTCTTTAAATTTAGGAGAGGGCAAATATTCTTTCCGGTG